CCCCCCCCCAAATGCAAAACCAGAAACTCAAAAGGCGCAAAAAACACCTTAAAACACCATCCATTATTGTATAAAACGCAGGTTACCCAAGTCATCTCTTTTTTTTATTATTGTGGTAAAAGAAAAGAACATAAAATTTACCATCTTAACCATTTTTAAGTGTATGGTAGTGTTAACTAAATGCACATTGTGGTGCAATAGGTCCCTGTAACTTTTCACCTGGTAAGACTGAAACGCTACACCCATTGAACAGCTCACCTAACCCCGTCCCTCTAGCCCCGCGCAACCACTGTTCTGTTTTCTAAGAGCTTAGTGATTACTTTAAATCCCTCAGAAAAGTGGAGTCATGCAGTGTTTGTCTTTTGTGCCTGGTTTCCCTTAGCACATCTGCCAGGCTGTAGCAAGCGACAGGTCTCCTCCTTTCCAAGGCTGGTACCCCGTGGTATACATACCTCCCTTTCTTTACCGGGTCACCCACTGACGGACGCCTAGGTTGTTCCCGCCCCTTGGCTATAGGAAATATTAACATGGGTGTATAAATACCCAAGTCATCTTTTTAAAAATTGAATTTACTTAAAATAATACATGCTTATTCCTAGAGTTTTGGAAAATATAAAACAATGGAAATGTGGGGGAAAATGGCCTTCACTTAGCCCTGCCTCTGTTCCCTCTCCCTTGCCTTTCCCTAGACCCCTTTCCCTTCCACCCCCGGCCTCTGCCTCGTCTGCCCCATCCTCGCTTCTTTCTCCTCTCACCACCCTCTCCTTGCATTTTCCCGATACCTCTCGCCTCCCCCCAGCACCCCAAGTGTCGTCTGCCCGAGGGCCGGCTCTCACGCGGGCATGGGACATCGGCTCCTTTGCTGTCCTGCACCCGTGGCGCCCGCCCTCGTAGTCAGAATGGCACTCGGGATGCGTTTTTCTGGGTAAGTCACCGGGACAGAGGCGGCCAGTTGAGTGAATTATGTTCTTTATTATTGATTGATTAGGAGCCAGAGCTTTATTTCACAGAACCAGAGCAGCTACTTCAAGTCCTCACAGAGCTGGAAGAGCAGAACCTGACCTTGGTACAATATTCCCAAGATGTAGATGAAAACCTCGAAGATGTGAACAAAAGAGAAAGACTTATACAGGATAAAATGTGAGTGATTGCGCACAAGTGGATTTAATCTATTAAGCAATTTCTAACCAGGGACAGAGTCCAGCGTATTCGGGCGTGGCCCTTCCATGTGGTCTCTCTGGATTTGGGGAGAAATTGTTATTCACGATAGTTCACAGGGTGGCGTGTATGGAGTTGAAGTCCTACTTACACAGAATAGACTGGCTGTAGCTTAATTTTTAGTCCCTATTTCCTTTCCCTTGTCAAAACGTTTTCCTAGCTAGCAATAATAAATGATTAAAAATAACGGAAGGGTCACCCACTGCCTTAATATATATATATTACTGCCTTAATTTCTGTTCACAGCCATTTTCACCCTATCATCTGGCTAATCAGATGTTTTGGAAAATAATGTTAACATGTGCATTCTCCTTGGCTGTGACTCTCCTCAGCAAAGCAGCTTTTTGGTGACTTAAATGTTGTATCATTTTGCAATGTACATATCAGTACATCAGGGCTATGATAAAAGGGATTTCTGTCGGGGAAGGAGGCTAGATTTGATGACTCACAACACTCCTTCCTATTGTAAAATTTTATGTTATTACAATTTTGTTAAACATCTTCAAGTCCCAGAGAATAGATCTTTGCATCTACCCATTACAGAAACGTGTAGAAGTTTTTTCAGAACGTTTGTCTGGGCCAGAAGATGGTGATCTTTTTAAACAGCAGGTCAAACCATATTGAACTTTGGAACAAATTCACTTGTTTCAAGCTTATGAACCTAAAAACCATGATCTCACAGCCATCCGTTACCACTAATGTGTCCTTTAAATCCGTGTCTCCTCTCTCCCAGTCCCCACAGCTATGGTGCCCCCACCCCTGACAATATGATTTTGGGGGACGGGGTGGGTGTGGCTGGGCAGGAAAAGGGGGCCTATGTCCGAATCCATTTCTAGGTCTCTATCAGAATCTCTAGGTGAGGGAGTCAGGAGTCTCCATTTTTAACCCTGGGCTCCCCAGATACTCCGATTACCAGCCAGGTTGGGGAACAGACATCACAGCTCTCACCGTGACTCGAGGCTCCCGACACCTCAGCTCTGCTGCTCTCTGTTGGGGGAGTCAGGGGAACCACGATAGTAGCAGAGGGGCAGAAAATGAAATGCTTCCTGGTGGAAGTTCAAAACAGCCTCTGTGCGTTTTTCTCATTTTAACCTGAAAAGTTGCATGTAAGTTGACAATGTCTTCAAATATAAACTCGGATTTGGCTTGCTGGACTTCGGATGCTAACACATGATCTGGAAGGAGCGTCAAAGCTCCCGACTGATGGTTTACACTTCACCAAACCGCACCTTACAGCCAAGCGTCTCTTTCTTTTGCCATAGAAATAGCAACATAGATTTCCTTTTGGAACACAAGAAGATGCTTAAGGCTAGCTGCATGAGAGAAGAGGAAAAGGCGGCGGAACTGGAATTAAGGTCCAGGCTCTTTAGTTTTGGAGAATTTAATTCAGATGCCCAGGTAAGCGTTCTTTGCCTACGGTCTTCTTATTTTGCCTCGCGATAATAATTTGCACTCTGTGTCCTAAGCACCGAAAGGGAAGAATGAAAAGTGAACCACGGGCCCCAGGTGGGTGCCAAAGGCAGAACACAGCTGGGAAGGATCTTGTCAGTACGGAGCCGTCCGTTTGTGTAGTAGCTAGAAAGCATTCAAATGGGCATTAAAACACTGCTCTATTTATTACACAGTATGATGCTGGGCTTTTCCCCTATAAAAACATTTCTTTTAGTCAGAGTATATACATACGAAGTAGCTCCCTCACTGCCTGTGACCATTTTGGTAGTAATTTAAGGAGCAAATAACAGAGGAAGCACTGAGTCAATACTGGATGGAGTATCTGACCAGCACTGAGCTTGTAATAGATTTTGGCTCCTTGGGGCCTGCACAGTCATTATCAGAGCACCTGTAACACACACTAACATACTCACTTACTTACATGTTACTCTCTCCCAGCTGCATGCAAACTCCTCGAGGGCAGGGATTTCTTACCCTTCTTAGCTAAGTTTAGTGTCCCTAAAGGAGGTGCTCAATAAATGTTTGTTGAATGAATGATTAGGTTAGTTTCTAGACTCACAACTCCAGCTAACATTGGTTTTCTTGTAAAAATCTCAAATAAAATAAAAATTCATGCTAATATGGGAGTTTAATATCACATTTATGGTCATGAACTTGATTTTCAAGCAGAAGTAGATTTGGGGGAACTGTCTCAGTAGATGATTGTCCTCCCCTACCCATAGGTAGGCAGGGTTACAAAAAGCACCTCTTCACACACACACAGGCTTCCTAGGGTGGTACAACACCCTCAGTCAGGAGGGGATGACAGCAACCTTTCAGTTCTTCAGCACTGAGTTTTTAAACCATTAAAAAAAAATGTGGCAAAACATACATAACATAAAATTTACCATTTATCCATTTTAAGCGTACGATTCAGTGGCATTAAGTATATTCACAATATTGTGTAACCATCACCACTATCTATCTATAGAACTTTTCATCATCCCAAATAAAAACTCTGTGCCCACTAACAATGATTCCCTATTCCCCTGCCTTTCCAGTCTCTGGTAAATCTCTATTCTACTTTCTTTCTCTGTAAATTTGCCTATTTTAGGTACCGCCTATAAATGAAATCATACAATAGTTGTCCTTCTGTGACTGGCTTATTTCACTTAGCATGTTTTCAAGGTTCATCCATGTTATAGCGTGTATCAGAATTCCTTTGATGGCTGAAAAATATTCTGTTGTATTTATTTACCACATGTTACTTATCCATTCATCTGTTGATGGGTACTTGGGTTGTTTCCACCCTTCAATTCTGTTTAAATAATTCTGAAGCTGATTGACATGAAAAATGTCAGATAAATGTGGTATCTCCCCCTCCCTCCCACCAAGCCCCTTTCATCCAAGAGGACAGCTATATATTAAAAAAAAAAAAAAAGCATTTTCAATACTCTTAAACCTTGAAGCAAGCTTGTCTAAACAGAAAAGGTGCAATTTACCTGAAAATTACTTTAAAGAAACTATGAGCCCTTGCTGGTTTGGTTCAGTGGTTAGAGTGTCAGCCCGCTGACTGAAGGGTCCCAGGTTCAATTCCAGCCAAGGGCACGTACCTTGGTTGCAGGCTTGATACCCAGCCCCAGACAGGGCACCTGTGGGAGGCATCCAATCAATGTTTCTCTCTCTCTCTCCCCCCCTCCTACTCTCTCTGAAAAGCAATGGAAAAAATATTCTCAGGTGAGGATTAAAAAATTTTTTTTTTAAAATCTAACTTAAAAAAAAAAAACGACTATGAGATTTTGGTCACAGGTGTAATTTTGGCATTGATGTATTACCCACTCTGGGAAAAAGCATACACCCCTAGGGATGTAAAATGCTGGGGTGGAAAAGAGGCAGAGAGCAAACAAACAAACCAGCAGGGGAAAAGTATTCTTTTCTTAGAATTTTCTTGCCTACTCCCTTCTTTTAGATCTCAACATGTGCAAAACATAATCCTTTATGAGTAAATAAACATAAGCGCACCGAATTTTGATATTCACAAAATAATCAGTTACTTTAGAGCTACAGTAACTCTAAAATCAACCTTATACTTTCAAAACTTCCACACTCCTGACTGTATTTAGTTCCCTAAAAACACTTTTCATTGATTCAATATATTACTTTGATAGTAAATCTTAAATTCAGGTATAATGTAGTATTGAAAAGTACACAAATCACAAGTGCATCTCTCAAAGAATGTCCTCAAAGTAAACACAGCCCTAGATCAGGGAAGACACCGTTATCGGCATCCCCAGTGCCTCTTACCATCCCTTGAAGGTGACCGCTGGCCTCACTTCTCCCACCCTCAATTAGATTTTATGCTTTTGAACTTGATATAAATGGAATCGTGTGGTATGTCTGGCTTATCTGGCTTCTTTCTCTCAACATTATGTTTGAGATTCATCCCTGCTTGTGTAGCAGTTTTCATTGGATGTGAAATGGAATATAAGTTATTCCATTGTTCAATTTTCAGAATGTGTTCACCTCTGGTTTAATTTTCCTTTCAACAGGGAGCTGATTCAGTTCAACTGGGAGAGTTTTTACATTAAGCACACAGTAGAATGCAGCATGGATTAGAATGACAGAATCCTTGAGTTGGAAATGAACTTTAAATGGCATCTAGACATCTCCCCATTCCTATCCAGTGTTGATCACAATTATTCCTTCTAAACGGTGCTCTGGTCAGATCACTTCCGTCCTGTTGGAAGGCATCCCATGTTCTTATCCTTGCAGTTAGTCTTCCACCATCCGGGCCCACTGAACCTCAGGAAGCAGGTCCCCCCACCGCCCCCAGCCCTTCCCGAGGTGCGCTGGACTGGGCCTGCCACCTGGCAGCAGCTCCAGGGATTGGACTGACAGCTGGCTTCTGTCATGGGTAGGCCTGCACCTTGAACTCCCTTTTTCTTTGCCCTTCTGCCTGGTTAAGCCAGGCCCTCAATCTCTTTTTCATGAGTATTTTCTTTAACTTCATTCCTTAATCCTATTTCGCACGCTGTTCTTACTTTAAGAAATCATTTCTCCTTGTCTTTTCCTCTCGTTTGACAGGAGGAACTTAAAAAAAAGGCATCCTGAAAGGCCACTGCCCATTCATCTCTAAAATGCTTACATGTTCAAGAGGTCTCCTTCAGAAATCACCAAATAACCAGTCTCATGTTAAAGTTACTTTTTCTCAGAACTAGTGTTTAATGTATTTTTTTTAAACGACTCACATTGCAACAATATTGTTTTTTCATATCCAATGTATATTTCAGTCCTTTGATGGGTGACTTTTCCTTTTATATTTTTCTGTATTTCTAAAGGAATGTGTTGTTAATATAAATGTTATTTAGAAAGGGAGAGAAAAAGGGAGCTTTATGGCAAATAGGACTTTTGCTTTTTTGATTTTTTTTCTTTTATTTCATACTTCTCCACATTTTCTTTAAAGAGGTCTATATGTAATATAAATAGAAAATACAATAAATGTTACTTTAGAGAGAAAAACGGGGGCTTTATGGTAAATAGGACCATCAGAGAGGTGGTTAAAGTAGAAGGTGAGAGAGACAAGCTGTTGGAAGCAAACTCCTGGTAACAGGTCTTGACTTGTGATTGTTGGTGGCTCTGTAAGGAGCCCTGTGACTCCAGGAGCTGTATCTGACCTGAGTGTTATTTGTCCTTCTTGGCTTCATGGTGATTCTCATCTTCTTGAGCAGAAGCAGGCACTGGGGCAGAAAGCTACCTGGAAACAGCTTAACTTTGCCCAGCAGTTTATTGAGATGCTCTTAACTGCGAATGCCCAGTACAGTGTGGAGAATTTCGATGAGAGTTTTCTTTTGGTCCCGAAACACGTTACCTACAAGCTCAAGCAACTCTACCACCTGTTAAAACGGAGGAGTGGCCAGGTACAGGGATCAGCAAGGTTTGGCCAAAGCCTCTGTTTAGACCAGAATACTGCAGTGGCTTCCCAATGGAGTGAAATTTAAACTTCTCAAAAGGCTTTTGTAGGTTAGCCATGGAATCTGTTTGCTTGTAACTGTTATTTTCCTGAGAGAATGTATTCATTTATTCAGCAAACATTTATTAGGTACACAGTTATGTGCAAGGCGCTGTTTTAGGTATGTGTCAACCTAAGAAATAGCTCCTGCCCTCCAGGTGCTTACAGTCTAGAAAGGGAGATAAGGCATGCATCAAATAACTATCACACAGGATGGTCACAGTTTTAGCAATTAGACTAATATGTGCAAAATAAAAAGGGAGCTCACAGGCTGTGTTGCAAAGAAATGCATCGGAGTGGCAAAACAGGATTTAAAATCTGTATGCTGTCTCTACTTGAATGCCCAGGGACTAAGTACACAAAACCATTCAAGCAAAAAGATTACAGTTATAGTTACTTTTATACCTAGAATAAAATATTTTTAAAGAAAATAATCCAGGGTATTACTATAGCAATGATCTGACAATAAACTGCTATAAATATCATTGCTGCACTTTCTCCCCCTTCTATGTTGCATTGAAGTTCTTCTTTTAAACAAGGAAACAATTAGTAGCATATAAAAGCCTTTTCATTATACTATAGCAAAATAGAACTTTACATTTATTGAACAAGCAAATAGTGATGAGATGTTGTTTTCTGCTCTCCTTTTCTTCTCAATCTCAGGAAAAACTGATAGACTCTCTTAGTAAAAAAATCAACCAAGTATACAAAGTCTGCATCGGAGAGAGTGAGGTTGGCAGCCTCAACGCAGTGCAAAAGCTGGTAAAAGTAGAGTCTCGCCTGGTGGAACTGAGCGATCTTATTGAATCCATTCCCAAAGAAAACGTGGAGGCAATTGAGAGAATAAAACAGAAAGAACGACGGCAAAAGTACAGTGTCCTAGACAAGTGTAGCGAATGACTTAACGAGTAGCTGGTTTTGCTTGGATTCCACTTAGCGGGTCTCTAGTACTTGGCAAGGATGACCACAGAGAGGCAGTGGGAGGACCCAAACCCAGCCCTCCCCTCCCCAGACAGCTGTTATTTAGTGGGGAGGCACATTCACCAAATATTCCTGTGAAATAAATGGGCCATTACCAATGGAACATGAGCGCCGTGAAGGAAAGAAGGGCGAGGGGTCCTTTTAGCCTGGAAAAGTGAGTTTTCAGGGTGAATAGCCACTACTTATATGAGCATTTTTGAAGAGCTGTCATGTGAAAGAATTGCACTTGTGGTAAAAATCCCAAGGCACAGATTAGAAGCCCTTCATTGAAAAACTGCAGGGAGACTCAATTTATGAGAGAATCATTTGCAAGAGCCATACAATGAGGGTTTTCCTCTGTGCATGACTGCCAACGCTTCCCTACATAGCATTTACAGATCAATTCATCCATTCCTTAAGACAATCTCAGGATTATCATCCCTGGAACATGCCCCACCCCCACAACCCATCGTCCCTGGGATGTGCCCAACCCCCACAATCCTACATCTTTGCCTACCTTGGGGCCTTTCAGGAGAATGCGCCAATTTACACATAATTTCCATACTGAGTTATGTACATACTATCTTTGAGGCAATGATTATTACAAATATATGATCCCTAGTATAATGTGGCACATAGAGAATGCTCACAGGTGGAATGATATTCATGTTACAGCGAACAAACATGTTGGGAGGCAGACTAGCACTATGGCTAGAAGTACGGTCATGAGAGCTGACCTGCCTAGGTTCAATCCAGGTTCCACCATTTACAACTTTTGTGACTTTAGGCAAGCCAAATAATCTCTTAAATCTCAGTTAATCTGTAAAACAGCCCTAATACTGGCAGTAATAACTTGTATGGCTGTTGCGAGGATTAAACTAAGTGATCTATGTAAAAGCAAAAAGGCATGTTTGGCACATAATAAGTACTCAGATATTAGCTATTAATATTATTTTGTTACTGCTTACTATATTACTGGTACATGGGGGATATTGCTTCCCCATATACAAACGAAGTCTAGAATATATTAAGGTGAACCTGATGGAATTTTATCAAATATAAAGCAAATGTTTAAAAATTGTAAGTGAAAGATGGCACCTTCCATAACGTGACCTGTGATTAATTACACTACTAACACTTGTATCTTTTTTTCAGTAGGAAATAAATTATCATCTGAGGGTAATTAGAACTTAACTGTCAGTAGTGATATATGAATCTAATTCCAATTGTTTATTGTTCTTATCAAGAGAATTTTAGTTGGTTTTCCCCATGGTTTGTAGGCACCTAACATAATACCTAATCTTGCATAAAAACTATTCAGTAAATGTAACACTTAAAATTAAAACTGTCCATAAAATAGGTCTCACTTATTGAGTACACTAGGCATTGGAGTAGAAAGACTGCCTAGGTCATCTCATCTAATTTTATCCAAAAAAACCCTAAAGAAAGCAAGACAAATCACATTTGTTGGCCTTAATTTGAGAGCCCCATTCAAAAAGATTAACTGGGAAATACACTTTTGTGGTAATTCATTGAACACTTGTGATCTGTGTACTTTTCTGTATACTTCAATAAAAAAGTTTACTGGAAGTTAATTAAGTGGCCGCTGTACAGATTAACTATGAAGAGCTGAAATGTGAAGAGGCGGCTTTGCTGAGGTGCTTGTTTAGACCAAAATGGGGTCGATTTTCAGTTCTTCCAAAATGGTGACATGCAATTTCTTCCCATTTCATCAGAAATAGGATGTATTGTTGAGAGGTCACCTGATTATTTAAAAGCCACAGTTATGGGTGAAGATGAATTATTTTCATTTAACATAATGGAAATCTTATAATACTTATAGGCAGTTCATTTACTTTCTGTGATATATAGTTAAAAGAACATTTTCCCCTTTTGACAGGTTCCGTGAAGAGAAAATGAAGGAAAAACAAAGACACCAGGAAGAAAGGCTAAAAGCTGCCCTGGAAAGAGCAGTAGCACAACCAAAGAAAAAGGTTTGTGTTTTGTTATTAATAGGTCCAGTTACATCAATGTGTGAGTGCTTCTGTGGTATAAAAACAAAATATCTAATTCCTCTGACTTATCCAGGTGAAACTTCAGTAAACTCTCTCCTGCTCACAGCTTCCCTCTCTCCGGTTCCTTACTTCCAGAGTAATTCAAGTTGCTGGGTAACAGTTCTCCACCAGGCCTGCTCTTTAGCAAAAGAAACTTGTCCCTTCCTCTTTTTCTTTAGCTCCAGGTTCACGAAACCAAAGAATTATTTTAAAAACTAGTTTTGAATAGGTACTACAAGCATATGGTTCAAAGTTCAAAAGATACGAGAGTATTAAGTGAAAATTGTCCTCCTCAGTTCCCCTCCCTGGAGGCAACCACTGCCGAGTTTCATCTGCATCCTTCTGGAAATATCCTATGTATCTATGTATATTCATCTTTAAAGTGGTAGCTGTGAACCTCGCTCCTTTCACTTAGCAATGGAGAGAGTAAACCCAAAGAATTACATATAACTGGAAGGGTCTTCTAACCTTCACACTGTAAAAATGAAATTAACAGGTGTAGTTAAAATGATATGCCCAGTGTCACTTCAGATGTAGAAGACGAATCTGGACCGGAAGCCAAGGTTCTTTATACTGCAAGGTCACCTGTAATGATAAGTTTGGGGGTGGGCAGTCCCTGAGAGCTTACAGTCCAGGCCTCTGAACCAGGTTGTGGAGGGCCTTTATTTCCATACGCCACTCTCCCTCCTGTAGGTCAGGGCCTGCAGTATATTCCAGGAGCACAGTGTCATGGCTATCTACAAAGCTAGGGTGGACACTGATTCTTAACATACTAATAGCTAACCCATAGTGAACGCTTATTGTGCGCCTCACAACCAGCCTTTTGAAGGACTGAAAAAAGTTTCCAGGTATGGTAATTGTAAATATGTATGTCAAAAGTTAATGATTACCTTAAATTATTTAAATAAGCATTTCATCTTAAAGAGTCTGTACTTCTCTAGTTCAACTCTTCTAGGAACACACGACTTGTCCTCTTTCTCCCGAGGGAAAATTAACCACTCCCCATCCCCCGGCATGTATGCACTCTTCACTGAACACACAAAACTGAAATGATTATTTTAAAATATATCTTTCTTTCTAGACCATGAATGAATTTTATGACCCTTGCCTGGCACATAGTGGATACTCAACAAATGCTTACGGAATTAACAGACTAAAAATGAAAATCAAAACTAAAACTAGAAGAAAACTTAAAATAAAAATGGTGATCAGATAAGCTGACAATGTATGAAAACCTGTGATAGAAGTTCTTACCCAGCTGGGACACTTCATCACTAGAAATTTTCTAAGAGTATTAACAAAGATTACCAAAGTTCTGACTTTAGAATCCCCTAAGGGTATTTTTGTTGGTGTAATTATGGGGAGGAGCACTAGTGTTATTTAGTTCACTGGGGCCAGGAATGTCAAACATTCTGCAATGCAAGGGACAGTCTCACATAAGGATAGTACCCCTTCTGAGACACAATAGAGATGTCCCATCAAAACTCCCGTCCAGGAGAATACGATAGTTTTCTCATCTATTTAACTGACACAAACTCAGATGAAAAGCAAAACAAAAAAAGATTACAGAAAAAAGACTAAGAGACAAAAATAATTAGTATGATATAACTGAGTATATTCCCCAGAGAGAATGAATAGGTATGAAACTAAGGATTTCCCTAAGCCTGTCCTGGTGGGAACATCTCCAAAAGCCAACAGGATTACTAGTGTTTAAGATAGTACATGGCTTTCTCAAATTTTTGTTTAAAAATGAACAGGGTTTTAATGTTAGTCAACTGGTACTCAGCAGAAGAAAGTGACCTCTTCTAACCAATGGAAGAAAAACTAGCTACGGCACTTTTGAGAAATGAAATATTGGCCTCAGACATGGTTCTTTCTAACCATGTCTGAAACATGCTATACAATGACTTTACCTTCAACATCCCCACTTCCCCATAAAACCCCATAACATGTTAGACATCCATTAAATTATCAATCCCTTTGTAACAGGCTATTTACTTTTTTTTTTTTTTTTTAACTGTTTACTATTTTAAACCATATTATTCCTTGGAAGAATCAAGTTACTATTAGTATTTTACTTATAGTTCAAAAAGAAAAAGATTATGCTAAAAAATATTATTGTTTGTGTTTCAGCTGGGAAGACGGCTTGTCTATCGTTCAATACCTTCATTTGATAACAAACATGAACTACTTTTAGTCAAAGATACAAGAACAAGATCACTAGAGAATGAATATTTTTTCACTTGAATAGGAGCAGTAAGACATTTATTACCACAATGTTTTAGGCATATTTTATATATTCTGGTTTACAGTAATGGCAATATTCTGCCCCATATGCTTGCCTAACCAATTTGAGGAAGACATGCCCTTGTTCTAACAGCTATATAGGACTGGAAATGGGAGTTACTTTCTTTTGTTGAAGGCTTTTTATTACCCATAGCCTAAGTATTATTCTGTACATTATACATCTATACTTTTAATTGTCCCAGTTGGGGATACACATCCAAAGTTACTTTACTGATGTAACTATATGGTTAGTGGCATTCTCTGACAACATGAGACTTTAAATGATCTTTTTTTTTTTTCAACCACTCTACAGGAAAGTTCATAGTATACATTTTACCACTGTGGAGTATATATTGTATGTAATAAAGTACAACACTAAAATATCTTAAGGGTTTTGAGTTTAAAACTTAAATGAAAACCACTAAGTTACGTTCTGAGAACATAACTGTGAGACTGGATTTTAACTCCTATTAAGAAGTACTGTTCAGAAACTTAATTCTCTTAAGTGAACAGACCATGTCTTCATCAACCTAAATGTCAGTTCACAATTTCTGTTGTGCTCTGTATCCATAATCGTTTTTATTTTCAGCTGTTTCATTTTAGCTATGCTATGTGTATTATTATTTAAGCTTACATTATAATTTGTAATTTGTCCATTACTAAGTAATATATACTAATTCTAAGAAAATATTTCACTTTATACATGTCAGAAATGGCTCAAAAATAACTTTAAAAGAAGCAGTTGCTTTTAAAAGGTCTCAGTTAATATGTGATTACAAGGGCTGAATTTCACCTTCATAAATTTTTATAGAGCATATAAATAATCTTCCCTTATAGAAAAAAATACGAGTATTGGGTTTATAAAAAACAAACCAAAAAACCCAACTTGAATGAAGTTGGGTGGCTTTTAAAGCATTACTTCTGTGAATAATTTTTCAATTGTTTCAATATTGAGTTTTGCTTGTGAATACCTGAATATGAATAGTCCACAAGTCAAGTTGAAAAAACAAATTTTTATTGTCTAGAAATATATATAAAAAAAAAAATCCCCCACAAAAGATGCTACTCTCTCATTTCTCCATCTTCCTCCTCTTCTTCAACACCCCTGATATAAAGGACATTATTACACCTGTAAATAGAAAAACAGTCCATTTTGTTGTTCCAACTGGAAACCATGTAACATCTGATTTACAATTAACTAGACTTTTTTTCATTACAAAAATAATGAATGCTAATTTTACAATATAGCATTTTTTCCTTTCTCTTTTTAAAGAAAGTTTTTACCACTAATTTGTTAAAAAGCACATGGTACTTTCTTACCATGTGGTTATTATAAAATGTTATCTTTATGATCTATCAAAGGGAATGACTAGAATTTGAAGGTATAAAGCTAGTTCTAGAAAGCAAGTATGACAAAAATCCCTAACAGCAGCCAGACCCAACTAAAATTCAAACCCAAGCTCCTACAATTGAAACCACTGAAAAAGGTTATAGCTAAGAGCTAGAAAGTTTAATATCGGTACTAGAAAAATCTTAAGAATGAATAGCTCCAAAATACTCAAATCTTTGACAAGTTTAACAATTTCAAAGACTCCTGAAGTCTAGTTGTAGAATATTACGGTAAATTAATGGTGATTTTAAAAAGTAATTCTGAAATTGAAGCACTAGTTTATTCAAACAGGTATTTCTAATGCTCACCAGTAACTCCTTACATATATACTACTACTGTTTTGTTACCTTATTAAAACTTCACCCAGGTGTCCAGACAAGGCTCCATCTATGTATTCTTCTGTGTTTGCAAGCTTTAAATAAAAAGAAAATATATTAATATAATAATACATAAGGAAAACAGTAAAACACACCTAATATTGGTGAGAGAACTTATTAACTGAGACCTTTCTATACCAATAACTCACATTTATCAATAATTAATATAAGATTAGTCTTCTGTTACTATTAAAGTACTTTTGGTTTCATATAAATATCTGGTAAAGTTAACATTGATGGATGTAGAACTAATATATAATAAAGCTTGTTTCAACATAATTTTTTAAAATCTCTCAGTTGTGTATTATTTCTTTCTAGTAGACATTAAAACACGTCGAAGAAGGCAATCTCCCAATTTATGAATAAGTTGATTAAAAGTTTTCTGCAAATTCAGTTCCAAAGCAGACATTAATTTCTCTTGGAATAACAACTTTATACTGTAGCATCATATTGAGGAACCCAATGGGTGTACAAAAGCTATGGCTAAAATGCTTTCATATTAGTCACCAACCAAACCAAAGAACTGAATAAATTTTTTTTTTTTAATTATGTGCTAATCAACAGAAAGTTCTTAAAAGAAGGTTAAACAATAAAGAGTAACCTTACAAACTTCCAGTTATAAAATAATAACAGGAATATAATATATAGCACAAGGAATAAATACCATAACTTCGTAAAGTGACAGATGCTTACTAGACCCATCATGGTGATCTAGGCCCATCATGGTGATCAGTCCATAAGGGAGAGGGAGGGAGGGTGTGTGTGTGTGTGTATAATTACTGTTATATACCTAAAACTAAGTATGATATCAACTATACTTTAAAGAACTCATTAAGGTTGAGCATCAACCCATGCACCAAGAGGTCGCAGGTTCAATTCCCCATCAGGGCACATGTCCAGGCTGCGTGCAGGAGGCAGCAGATGGATGTTTCTCTGTCATCGATATTTCTCTCTCTCCCCTCTCCTTTCCTTTCTGTAAAAATCAATAAACACATATTTTTTTTAAAAACCCACATCAAAAAATTTTGACCCAAAACACCTTAGGAAATGGGGTTTGCTATTCGTTCACAGATATTTAGATTCAACATTTTCTTTACTAAATTGTGGCTGGTGGGTTACTTACCTACTATGCGATAAATTTATTTATAAAGGGGATCTTTTAGGGACTTGAAGTTTGATGAAAGCCTTCATATTTCAACTGCTAAATGTTAAACATTAAGTTTTTTAAAAAGTAACCTTTATAGTTAGGGAACAGTATTACTTCTAATTCTACATCAAAATGTTTAGCTTTCTTCTCCATATAGGCAATAAGCTTTACTTTTAATTTTTAAAAATCACAACCCATGCTATCTGTGACTCACACGCACAAAAAAATGAGCAGGAAAGAAAGGAGGGAAGTTTCCTTCATTAGCCCAGCAAGTGGCAAAGGGAAAGAAATATAGGGCTTATAGAGGATGTGAGATAAGGCATGTAAAACATGTTAATGAATTAATACTGCTACTGGGTGTTATTCTCTCTCCTACAGAGAAAAGTAGCCTCCTATACACGGAAAGGTTCTGTCTGAAGTACATGTGGTTGAGACAATTAGTTTTGTATGTAACAGCTCTCAGAAATAATGTACTAGCCCGGCCGGGCGTGGCTCAGCGGTTGAGCATCGACCTAGGATCCAGGCGATCAGATCAGGGTTCGATTTCCGGTCAGGGCACATGCCCGGGTTGCGGGCTGCAGCCGATCAATGACTTTCTCATCATTGATGTTTCTATCTCTCTCTCTCTCTCCCCCTCTCCCTTCCTCTCTGAAATCAATAAAGATATATTTAAAAAAGAAAAAAAAAGAAATAATGTACTAATACCAACTAATTTTTGGGTTAAAAGTGGCTTTTTGGCAGCTATTTAACATTTAACTGGTTTCTAAATTATACAATGCTCCAAAGCATTCTATCACATTTTAAATAAAATCTAAAGTCCTAACTATCATTTAAAAAGCCCTCTAGGACTACCATTCCAACCTTTCTATCATCTTTCCCCTAATTCACTCAGCTCTGGCCTTCTTGCTGTGCCTTTAACACACCAACCATGTACCTGCCACAAAGCCTTTGCTCTTGCTGTTTCCCTCAAAATGGGATGCTCTCTCTCCAGCTGTTCTCACTTTTCAGCAACACTCTTCAGTTGCTCACTCAATTCTGGTCGTTGCTTAAATTTACTTCCTCAGAGAGTCTTTCCTTGGATATCCTATCTAACACTGCACACTCTTTTCACTTTATTCTGTTTTTCTTTTTCTCCATAGCACCTATCATTACTTGATACATTATATTACCATCTCCCATCACTAAAACAAATTCCTAGAGGGTAGGGACTTTATTTGGTTCATTGGTGTCTTCCACAGAGCCAGGCACATAACGGGCACTCAATAAATGTGTGCTCAGTGGAAAAACTCAAAGGCATCATCGATGTGGTTACTTCAAAACTGGCAAGCTCAAGAGGAAGTTATATTACTTTTAAAACCAAACATTCAGTGGGTATTCATTATTCCTTTCTTTTACTGAGATATAATTCCCATAACATAAAATGCATTTTTAAAATATATGTTAATGGTTTTAACTATAACCATCACCACTAAGTCTGGAACATTTTCAGCATAAGGGATATGCTCTTCATATTTTTCTATGGCCTTAGTGATTCCTGCTTAGGGAATTTTCCAGGCCAAAACCATGCTCTATAAGGATTTTGGGGACCTGAGTGTTATCTGTTTAGGGGGAAGACAGAATGGCAGTTCCTTAAGAAATTAACAAAGAATTACTATAGGACCCTGTAATTCCATTTCTGGATGCCCACCCAGAACAACTGAAAGTAGACTCTAGCAGATACTTGTACAGCGACTTTCACTGCATTGTTCACAACAGTGGAGAGAGAGAAACAATTCAAATGTCCACCAACAGAATGGATTAAAATGCAGAATATGCATACAATGGAATATTATTTCAGCCATAAAAAGGAATGACATTCTGATACATGCTACACCATGAATGAGCTTTGAAAACATTATGCTAAGTGAAATAAGCCAAAAGGACAAATACTGTAGGATTCCATTTATATGACGTACCTAGAATAGAGACAGAAAAAATAGTAATTACCAAGTGCTGGAGGCAGGACATATAGGGAATTATTTTTTAATGGGTACAGAATTTCACACTGAGATAAAAAAATATGGGAAACTGAAAAGGGGGATGGCTGCAACAACAATATGAATGTACTGCCAATATGAATGTAATGTCAATGAGCTGTATACTTGAAAATGGTTAAAGTGGTACATTTTATGTTATCACAATTAAAAAAAAAAACCCTGACTGAAACATTTACAGAAGCTAGTGTGACAGACATGCAATCAGTTGATCAATTTATTTGGCTGATATCTTTTCCCTCAAGAAATGCTTGTATGGAATTACTCTGTTGTTGTGCCTTTAGCACTCATTAAAAGACTTAAGAATTTCACTTGAAAAATTTCTTTGAGAGCTAAGTGAAAGCTTTTCTTTTTCCGTAAACTAGTGTGTTTCCCTTCTGGCATTATGAACCAAATGTCTCAGCTCTTCTTACTTTAACGACTAGGAGTCAAATCTGTGGCTGTATTTTGGTTTAACATCATGTCTCATATGTAGTTTATCAAGTTATAACATCCTCCCTGACCTTGACCTTTTTCCTGAATTTTTGCTTTGTCAATTTAATTAACTGCATTCTCATAAGTCGCACTAAACCTTAAAGTGGAAAACCCCCCACAATTTAATAATTTTTATAATTCCTTAACTTACCTGCATGTTCATATAGCCATCTACAGATACCAGGTAGCCTTTGTACTCCATTCCCCACTTAAGTTTCACCATTACTGGCTTTCCTGTTAATCCATTGAGGAAAGGTTTGGGATTGAGGGGCAAACTCTGCACAAAGAAAAACAACAAAAAAAATCAATTATTTTCTAGAGCTCAGCGCCCACCACCTACTTTGTTACCAAATCACCAATATTTACGGTATCCAAAAGAAGCAAACTCTTGACTCCTTCTCACATAATTCTCACTTTTATTTGTTGAAGAGCATCAGAGAAATTTAAATGCCCAATAACCCAATTTCCTCTTCAAGCCATCAAACCATATAAAAGTACTCATTATTCCCTTAAGAAACACTGAATAGCTATTAAACATCACTCACTGTTCCAAGTTATAAAGAAACAAAGGTAAAGGCCTAAAAAAAAAAAAAAAATATATGCAGGTGACAGTCCTCAAGCAGCTCACAGTGGGAGGGGAAAGGGCAAAACACATACAAACAATTATATTGCAATGTAGTAAGAGGAGATATGCTTTGTACCAGGGTATCAAACCACTCCAGCGTAAAGAGAAAAGGAAAGGTTGCCTGAAATAAGTAATGCTTCCATTTTAAAGGATGAGAGATACTTCCAGGGGAAAAACAGCTGTTCTAGGCAGAGACTACCTGTACAACAGGAGGGAAGAATGAAGCAACAAGATGACCTCAGGGACACTTGAAAAATTCAGTGTTGTCAGTGCCCTAAGGAGGCTACAGAGTGAAGCAGGGGGCAGGCAGACCACGCGCACAGTCTTTTGCTTGAATTCTAGGAGCTAGGGGTGGGTCCTACTTGCCTTAGCAGTGCCTCTTACATACCAGCTACCACTTAATGTTTGTTTGTTCAGCAAAGCAATACTCTCCCCAGTTCACACACTCTTTCTTTCCTCCATCTGCTCACCACCCATCAGCCCAAAGAAAGAAAAGAACCACGAAACTTGGCTACTAAACCCCTTTAAGATAAGCATATTCAGAGCGATCTCAAAGGATGTGGGACTACTGCAATAACCTCCTGATGAGTCTCCAGTTTTCACTCTCGTCTTTCTCCAACTTATCCACACAAAAACTGTTATTTTTGTCATGTCGTATTTCTGCTTAAAATACTTCAAGGGCTTCCAGTGGCAGCTGGAGTAGAATACAGACCTCCTAGTGTGTCCTGAGAGGCCTTGCCCGGCCCTATCTCACAACCACTATTCTTGCAAGAAACTGGCTTTCTGTTAATTCCTCCAAGTGGTCGAGCCTTATTTTCGGCCTTAAGACCAATGCTCCTGTTCCCTGAGCCTGGTGCACACTTCCTCCTGCTCTTCTAAGGGGCTGTATTTCACATCATTTAGGTTTCAAGTTAAACCACTCCCCTGCCTGGGATGCCATCCGTGGCCGCTCTTCTAAGGTACCGCCGCGCCCCCTCACAGCATCCTGCTGGCTTCCTTCTTAGCACTTAGTATTTGCGTTTATATATTTGTTATTATTTAATTAATGTCTGTTTCCCACGCCGGACAGAATTTACCTAGACCAGGGTCCGCACCAGTACTTTTCACCTCATATTCCTACCGCCTAGCACAGTTATCTGGCAGGCAGCGTGCGCTCAAAACATACTTGCTAAACGAACGCCCAAAGCCTGGGCTCTGGGCTCCAGAGCGCTGCAGGGCTGGGAGACCCAACGTCACGGCATGGAAGCAGGCTTTCCTTTCAACGCGCGGCGTGAAAGACCTCTTCGTCTTTATCCTGACCCTGCGGCCCCAGCCAGCAAGGATACCTCAGGCTCCGATTCAAAACGCAGCTGAGCGGGAAGGGAGCAGAGGCACTCCTGGGAGCTGAGGGCGGCGGCAGGAGCGCGCGCCTCAGACCCCACAGCAGCCAGAAAAGGCCTGCCGACCGCTGGCGCAGCGCCTCACGCGGATGAATGAGAAAGGCGCGAACCAACGACCAGGCCCGGCGACGCTGGTCACCCGCGCGCGCGCTCTCTCTCTCTCCTTCCCTCTCTCTGCAGACTCCACCGGTTCTTTTCCTCCTTACCATCGCGACGACCAGAAAATGCTGCAGGCTACTCGCTGCCGGCCCTGCTGTCGTCCCTCGCGACTGGAGCGTCTCCAGGAGAGCCCGGTCCGCGGTGCTTCAAGAAAAATGGCCGCCAAGCAGCAGCGTGACCTTTTACCTCCGACTACAACTCTTCCGTTTCTGTGATTGGACGCAAAGAGATAGGTGCTGATTGGAGGAAATGGTACAGTGTCTCCTGGCAACCAGAGATGGTGTGCGCCTCGTTCTCTTTTGCCGCCGCGCGCGGGCCTGTGGGATGCACCCGCCTCCGGACTGGGGGGGTCCCTGCGGCCCTGCGAAGGTAGTGAGGCCCGCGGGGTGTCTGGCCGGCTGCCCCGCGTGGAGGGTGCGGCTGAGAGACGCCGAGTACCCTGCAGAGCGTACGTGATTTCTCGCCGGCTTCGCTAATGGGGGTTCCCTTTGTCCTTTTACACCTGGAGAACGAGTTCGGGTCTCCAGTTCCTTCCTCGCTTTCCCACAGATTCTGTGATTTGGGGGCTTCCCTGCCACCGTCCCTTTCTACCTGTTCTCTACTCTGTAATGCTCATTTCGACCCACTATAAATAAAAATGTAGGGGAAATAAGACTGGACTAAGGAACAAGAAACGCACCCGAGAAAGTCAAGTACAGAATATATTTCAGATGAGGGCGAGGCGAGGGTAGAATACGGTGCGGTGGCTCCCTGTCCGCCCGTCTGCCGCGTGGCAGCCTTTTCCCGCGCATCTGTCGCTGAGGCCGCGGGGAGGTGTCCGCCAGCCGGGTCACCCTCGGCGGGTCGCACTTGCTTTCACCCCCTGCGGACTCTCCGCTCGCTCAGGCCTGGAATGCTAAACGCCGTCCTGGGAGAATACGCACTTGGAGTAGTACTGGTTTTTGGTTTTGGTTTTGCAGCCCTAAGGAGATGCATTTGGACTTTAGGTGTAAATGTCGTTTATTGAGGCGTTATGGAGAAGTGGGTGAGGCTTCGGAGGCAGCCTGAATTCGGAGCCTCCGTCCATCGCGTGGGGATGGGGTCCGGCAGTTTCTTAACCTGCTAAGGCCTTTGTTTCCCTCAGCTGTGCGTTTCTTTAAAAACTATCCACAGCGTCGTGAGGATTAAATAATAAATGCGGAGAGGTTAGGACTGTGGTTGGCCATGTAAAAGGTCTGTTGGTGGTAACTATAGTTTAAATGTTGGAGAACACTGACAATTTTTGGTACAGGTTATGCCAAACAGTTGGAATTATTTACCCCAAAGTTCAGCGGGTTTTTCTCTTAGTTCCAGGAATCTTTTAATGAATAGTTAGCCTTTGTACAGACTTCAAGTTCCTACTGTGTGCCAGGCTCCTTCACAGTTGCTATAATGGAAATCTTAACCACACGGACCAATTTAGTAGTTAGAGCCCCCTTTTAGAGATGAGAAACAGGCTGAGCCAAGTAACTTGTGCAGGGCCACACAGCTGGGTTTCAACCCGAAAACTCTGCTTTTTCTACTTAGAAAGCTAACTTTCAAAAGTTCAGTATATACTTTAGAAGTCTCATAAGGCTTTTTAGAAGACTTTTAAAAACTTTGAGTTTATTGGGGTGACACTGGTTAATAAAATGATATAGGTTTCAGGTGCACAATTCTACAATACATCATCTGTATATTGTACTGTCTGTTCACCACCCCAAGTCAAGTCTTCCATCACCATTTATCCCCCCTTTACCCTCTTCTACCTCCCCCCACCCTCCTTTCCCTCTGGCAATCCCCTTGCTGTTGTCTGTGTCTATGAGGGGTTTTTTGGTTGTTGTTTGTTTTGTTTTTGCTTAATCCCTTCACCTTTTTCACCCAGCCCCCCAACACCCCTCCCCTCTGACAGCTGTGAGTCTGTCCTCTGTATCTGTGAGTCTGTTTCTATTTTTTTAGTTTATTTTGTTTATTAGACTCCACATATAAGTGAAATCATATGGTATTCGAAGACTTATTTTTTATATATACTTTAGAAGATTTATTTTTTTTTAGCTGTTATCTCAGTGAAGGGAAACAAAATATTACTGTAATCTATATTTTAAAAAGTGACAAAACTGAAGCTGTCCTACTTCAGGCACGTAATGAAAGGCAGGGTTCTTTGGAAAAGACAATAATGCTGGGAAAAAATAAAAGGCAGCAGGAAAAAAGACCAAATACGAGATGACTGACTCCATAAAAGAAGCAGAGCTGAGTGGCTGTTGAGGAGAGGACATTGTGGACTCATTCATAGAGTGGCCAGAAGTCATAGTCAGGTTTACTCATATCAAGTTGGTTTTAGTAGTTATCTGGCTATGTTATTTGTAGTTGTTGCAATTCTGAAAACAAATCATTTTAAACATTACACTTGGTACCATAGGTATTTGGTCAAGTTCCTGTACCTCTCCAGGCCTTAGTTTTGCACTAAATTAAGGGGTTGAAATAGATTATCTTAAGGGCCTTTCTAGCTTTAACATACTATTATTTTCTGATATTCTAAATTAATAACTGGAAAAAATGAAGATTAAAATAAAGAATATCCCTTGCATTGTAACTATGCTTTCAATTATTCAATTATAATTTATTATTACTTGTTATTAATACATACTAATTATTATCTTCCAAATAAGGGACAGAGTAACTTTTCAGTTTCGGTAACAATAAGTTTCTTATAGGTTAAACCTTTCTGTTTCCTATGTATGTTGAGAACGCTAGGCAGTAAAATATAATTATTTTAAAACCATACACTGTAAAATGAGATTTTGCAGCGATGCTGTTAACACTTGCATCTTGATTCTCAGAGAACAATTATAAATGTGATAAACTAAGAAGGGAAACTAAAACTGGTTCTGTTTCTGTCTGATTATAGATAACAGGTTAGGTTATATATTATTGTCAGTGAAAAAGATAAAATTTATCAGCAGAAAATATTTTTATTCATAACAGAATTCATTTAATCAATTATTTAGACTCAATAAAAGTTTTCTTCTCCCCATAGTTGCATATTCTATTTGGGGAAGAGTCTAGACTGTTATTTGATCTATATAATAATAATAATAATATGTAAGCTAGCCAGCAGCAGTACTCTTATGGCTGCCATTTATTGAGCACTTATGTGCCAGTACTTTACATAAATGATCTCATTTAATCTTTAGCAGCAATTTTTTGAAGTAGGTATTATTAGCTAGTGTTGCAAGGTAACCTGCTCAAAGTCCCACAAGGAGTAATCCTTCAAGCCAGGATCTCTCTGTCCAAACTTTGCTCCTTTAACTCTTCTAATCCAAGCTGTAAGAACCTCAGGGAGACTAGACCAAGCGTCTTAATTCCACACATAGTTCATAGCCTCAGTAAGACAGTGAAATTCCTATACCGCAGACTGAGTGTGAATTCTTTTGAGAGATGTGACTGTCAACTTAATTCCCTATACACATGGCCTTCTGTATAGTATCAGGTTCATCTGTCAGTCTCTGAATCAGGCTTTGGTGAGTGGTCAAAATTAAAATCACTCATATTGGAATGTCTGCTGTGCTTTATTTCATTGTCTGTCTATAAGCAGAGGATACACAGACAGCTTCTGGGAGTTTAAAGTAGAGGAAGACTTTTGTAGCTTCTTAACAAGCAAGCCTACCTCCCCTTTTGAGTGGCAGTCCTTCATAGGCTTGCCGAGGGAGACAGTTTCCCACGGCCCCCTGCTGGCTCTGAGTGAACAGATTCTCAGCCCCCTGCTGACTGCGGAATATGTCGCTTATCCCCATCTCAACTCTTTACCGACAGCCTTCAAAATGACTTGTTTAGAAGACAGATGGCATGGCAGAATCTCTGACAACCGATTAAGGAAGAATACAATAGATTCCTGCCAAATATCCCTACCATTTCAATGTGAACTAACAGCAGTTTTTGTCATGATGGAAAAAGGAAAGGATGATGTTAAGAACTGTTGTCTTCTGTCAAAAGCAGCATACCGTCTATTTGCATTGTGTTTAGAGAGGATTTAATGAAGTCAACATATAGGTTATGCATAGCATTTTGCCTTTGCACATGCTGTTCCCTCTGCATGGAATCCCTTCTCCTTCTCTGCCTACCTTTCCAGAGCCAGCCCAAATGATACATTCAATATGAGCCCTTTCCAGATTCCCATGGCGTCACTCCTTCCTCCAGGCTCTGACAACACTTTTTTTCTACCTCTGGTGTAGCAATTAACGTGTTGCAGTATAGTCTGTGTAATTGTTTGTCTGTCTTGACTCAACGAGAAGCTTCTGGAACACAGGGACCATAGTGTGCTTATTCATCCGTCGCATCCCCTGCACCCAGAACAGTGCCTAGTCCAGAACAGGTGCTGTGTTACTGATTTTTAAATGACTTCCCTGCCATAGTATGAGATTTTTCTTCTTGGGGTCCAGAGCTACTTAAGAGTATGGTTATTGCGATCGTGGAAACTGTTGACAAGTCCCAGCTCTGCTAATTCCTTGACATTCATTCTTTCAAGTTTCTTCATTCTGTAAAATGCGGATGTACTGATACCTGCCTCGTGGAAATAAGTTTCTGCAAATGTTTTCAGTTTTGTTTTGTTTTTGTTTTTTCATAATTATAGATCTATTCAGGTTTTCTGCTGTTTACTCCTGAGTCAATTAATGTAATTTATGTTTTCCTAAGAATCATTCATATCTTGTTTTAATTTATTTTCATAAAGTAATAAGTATTCTCCTATTTATTGACTTCCTCTATCTGGTTATATCACAGTCCTAATTTGTATATATATGTGCTCTTTCTCTTTCCCTTTTTCTAGAGAGAAATATGTTAAAATGTTGATAGTAGCTTTCTCTGGCAATAAGATTATGGGTTATTTTTATATTTTTCTGTTTTTTCCAAATGCTCAGAAATCAATGGATATATTACTCATGTAGTCACAAAAAATACTTAATAAAATATCTTTCTTTATTTCCAAGTATGGAAGTTGAGACAGAAACATAATATAGATCATGGCCTTAGAGTGGAATCAGGAAACCTGTACTGGCTCAGTCACTTTTTTCTATGAGGTAAGAACTATGAAAACAACCATGATTTCTCTATGTCTCATCTGATATAAAGAAACTGAGCCACTAAACCATCTCACTTCCTCTTGTTCTTATGTAAAGGTGAAGGTTGTTAGAGTTGGGTAAAAGATCACTCAGAATTTATCTTTGGGGCCTAACTCACCTTATGTGATAAATTGACTTTTTTTGGTAACTTAGCATATAATTGATGGTGAAAGATACTGTATAGTATAGTGATAATGCACAACTTAATTAATATGTGAGCATAATATATTTGGCAATGAGTGAAACATTTGAACATGTAATTGGAAGGTAGATGCCATATATTTGAGGTTTTAAAATTCCCTGTGATCCTATAGCAGGATTTTTAAAGGAAACTGTTTTTCTTTTCTGTCTGGGAGAAGGCTCATTGTGGTTTTCCAACTCACAGCAAATTAGAAAGAAAAGATATGTGGTCCAATTTGATTCAACAAATATTTTTGTATTCCTTACTTTGAATCTTTTACTAGACCACAAATAGAAATGCTTTAATTATCTTGTTAAAGACATAAACTACTTTCAAAGAGACTTTCTACAATTAGATTTTAACTATTAGATAACTAGTTTACTACACTATAAATCACTCAAGGGTAGGCAAGGCATCTTATTTCATCTTTATACTCTAAGTGACTTGCCTGGTGCTGACCACATAGGAAATGTAACAGTAATTGTTACTTTTCTACTAGGTTATAAACTTTGTGAAAGCAAAACATTTTCTTTATTTAATTGTTCTAAGATCCTCATTACCAAGCCTTAGAGCACTATGACTCAGTGGAGGTGTTTAACAGATTTTTAAATTAATAATGATAATAATTGATGGCATTTATCAACGTACACAACATTGTGCTATCCCTTAAATAAATTATTACATTTAATCCGCACAATAACTCTATGAGATACTATTAATCTCTCCATTTTACTGAGGTTTGGAGAGATTATATATCTCACTTAGGCACACATAGCTTAAACATGGTTTGGCCATAATTTGACGTAGGCCTGTCTGGATTGCAGAGTTGGATGTCTTTACTACTTTGATCACCAAATTTGATAAGTGTTTGGTGGCTAAATAAATGACTGACATTTCACTTGCAGAAATTTGCATTTATTTCATCACTGTTCTTAAAAAAAAAAAAAAAAGGATTTCTGATTTTAAAAACACCTTCCTAAGAGAAGGAATAATTGCAAGTGCCTATGAGATTTATTGTACTGTGTTTCGAAGATGCACCATTGTTTTATGTACCAATTTTGTATCAGTTGTAATTACAGATGTCATTTATGTATCAGTTTATATATTAATTATAACTGTAGACCCTATTGATTCTTGGTAATATCCCAATTATAGAGACATTAAAATTTAGAATAGGTAATATATGTAATGTGTCCATACACACATTTTCTGTATTGTACTGTGAGTTTTTTTCCCTATAAGATCTGAGTCAATACAGTTATAGTAGTTAAGCATGCAGACTTTGATGCCAGTTGCCTAGTTTCAGACCCCAGTCTGCTTCTTATTTGCTTGTAGTCCTGGGAAAATTACTTAATTTCTCTGATTTTAGATACTTTATCTATAAAAAGGGGGTAATGATAATACTTCCCCCTGGATCACTCAAAATATACTTCATTAGACCTAGCTAGACATTTAGTTTGATTTCTAAAGCCTTTTGCAAGATAGATCTGATTCTTTGCTTAAAATATCTATCAGCTTTCAGAGGAACTGAGCCTGTATTTTATTTTCAAAGACTATTAATTCAAAGACTTTTGTCTTCAGGAGAGAGAGAGAAAACATATATATCAATATGGTAGAGAAACATGTTCCCTTCTGGGGATGGAGCCTGTGACCTGGGCACTTGCCCTGAGCAGGAATTGAACCGGTGACCTTTTGGTGCATGGACAACACTTAACCTCACCAGGCAGGGCTGGGAACTTTTTTTTAATGCCATCTCTGAAACCAAGTACAGAGATTCAAATTTAATTGTTTTGAGGTGGAACCTGGGCGTTATTATTGTTTCAAAGTTTCCCAGGTGATTCTGATTTGCAGCCAGGTATGAAAGTCAATGAGATAAAGTGCTGCTTATCTAAATGTCTTCCCACTCTCTTAGTACGCAACTTGGGAAGAAAACTGATTCCAATACTCCATTTTTTTTTTATTCCTTATGGAACTTTGAAATTTGTTGTTTGATTGAAGGTAAAAAGGAAGATAAGAAGGAAAAGATGGGACCTGTGATCTGAACTTTACAATTCAGTGATGTAATTGGTCAGTCAGAGACTCAATTGGTTTATTTATTTTTATTTTTAAAAAATATGTCTTTATTGATTTCAGAGAGAGGAAGGGAGAGGGAGAGAGAGAGAGAGAGAGAAACATCAATGATGAGCCCGGCCGGGCGTGGCTCAGCGGTCGAGCGTCGGCCTGGGATCCAGGTGATCGGGGTCCGATTCCCGGTCAGGGCACATGCCCGGGTTGTGGGCTCGATCAATGACTCTCTCATCATTGATGTTTCTGTCCCTCTCTCTCCCTCTCCTTTCCTCTCTCTGAAATCAATAAAGATTAAAAAAAAGAAGAAAAAAAAGAAACATCAATAATGAGAGAGTCATTGATGGGCTGCCTCCTGCATGCCCTGACTGGGGATCGAGCCCGCAGCCCGGGCATGTGCCCTGACCTGGAATTGAACCTTGATCTTCTGGATCCTAGGGTGATACTCAACCTCTGAGCCATGCTGGCCAGGCCATTTGGTTTATTTTTGAATCTCAGTGCCACACATTTACTTTAATGTCAACCTTAAGCTAAATCTCAATGCTTGTCTCTGCCACAGTAACTAAAAATTTTACATCCATGGCTGGAATAATGACAGACCATGTTCCAGGACCCTTGTTTTTCTGTTCAATGAATGCCTGATTGGCTGTGTGCCAAGGGGATCTGCTGCCCTCTGGAGGGTACTGTGCTATTGTTCTATGACAGATAAAATAGCACTCCTCTATGTATATTCCAAAGCACGTGAGAAGTTATGAAACAAAAAGATTTCATGGTCAAATCATTTGGAAAATGCGACACTATCTCTGTGTAAGGAAGTCACAATGCAAATTAGTGAAATAAAGACTGAGAAGTTCTATAATAAAGAAATTTGTTTCCCAAACGAATTGCACCATTTTCTCCCCCACCTGTCCTGTTAATATTTGGGAAATTAATATTATACAAATTCTATTTTGTATTAGTAATATATAAATAACATTTTGGATTTGGAGAAAATAAAGGAGAAAAACTTAATAAAAGATTTTTTAAGTAAACTAGAAAAAGGGAAAGATTTATACAGTAGATGCATTAAAATGAAAAGATCCCACATCCCTGCAGTGACATTTTGATTAGAAATGTAAAATTGGATGTGGCAGTGTGATATACCATGCAATAATATTCATGTTTATCTTTCTTCTTAGTTTTTATCCTAAAGAAGCATTTGAGATATATGTGCTGTTGCTTAACAAATAGAACTGTGACTTGTGCTTTATAGCATATGAAGTTGATTTCATGTACTGTCAGATGTGCCAGGAATCATATTAGACCAAAGATTAATGGATAGTGAGAGGCCAGGCATAATGGGGTTCCACCCAGAAGTTCAGTTAGTGCAGGTGTAGACGTCTCCTGTGCAATTTACAGCTGTGTTTTCCTCAGACTAGGAAGGTAGCAAATTTAGTAGGAATAAAATATTTTCAGTCAAGAGGCTTTTGTGTCATTCTTTTGTGTCATTCTGTGATCCTTGCCAATTAAATACAATTTCCCTCATGTGTAAAAGAAAGGCATGCAGAGCTTTTCAATGAGCTACTATGTGTGAAAGTGCTTCACACAGCCTATGACATATAGTAGGTGCTCAACAAATAGAAGTTCAATGTAAAGATGATTGCTGAGCACAGAGATGTCACCAAACTAAAGAGTCTTGAGGTCAACATGAGAAGCTGAAACTGGAAATAAGAACCAAAGAGACCAACCATCCCATCCCAATTTGCCAGTTTTAGCCCTTAAAGTCCTGTACTGGGCAAACTGGGATGGTTGGTCACCCCAATTCAGAGTCCAGAATACCCCAAGAGAAAACTAGTGAGTGGTCAGAACATAGACACAGAGTCTGGGAACATCAGGAAGCATGGCCCTGAGATCGGCAGTATTTCTCAGGCAGATGCAAACCAGTCTCAGTGTGAGTCAGGATAAGCCCACAGGTGGAGGTCAATAGACACAGTTGACTCTGCTGAGGAAAACTCGAGGTGCTATACAAGAGATTTTACAACCAATTTCTTGAGCGACCATGGTGATAAGACTAAAGTAAACAAGCAGGAAGGGATAGTCTCTTCAATGAATAATACCAGGGCAGTTATTAACCAGAGGAAAAAATGAAACATTCCCTGCCTCACACAACACAAAGTTAGCAACACAGAAGCCTAAATATGGAAATCAAAGCTTTAAACAACTTAGAAGAAAGTAAAGGAGAAAAGCTTAAGGAATGATTTCTTAAATAAGTGGTGAGAAGGGAAAGATTGATAAAGTTGATTGCATTATGATGAAAAGGCCCCCCCATGAACACACTGAAGAGTCAGGTTATAAACTGGGGAACATTTTTCTCAGTGCGTCAAACCTACAAAGTGCTTGTACCAAGAATATGTTAACTACAGTTCAATAAGGAAAATGCCAGCAATTCACAGAAGAAACTTGAGTGGTAACATTTTTAAAGAAGCTCATCCCAAACGTGTGCACAGGGGTCACAGGCAAGAGTTCACTGTACCATGGTTTACAAGAACAAGAAACTGGAAAAACACCCAAATGTCCATCTGCTATAAAATAAATAAATTATATAATTCAGTCAGTGAATTACTGTCACACAGCAGTTAAAATAAATGAGTGCTAATGACCAATATGAATAAATCTGAAAACCATATATTGAACTAGAAAAAGCAATTTGCAAAGGGGTTTATACAGTATGGAATCTGTATCAAGAGTAAAAAAAATGCAATGTTTCAAATTTTATAGGTACACAAATAGGTAATGAAAATATAAAATCAGTCACAGGAATAATAAACCAGATGGTTACTTCTGAGGAAAAAAAGATGGAAAAGAAATCAGGCAGGAGTCCACAGGGCAGCAAATGTGCCTGATGGATTTTACTTTTAAACTTCCTAAAGCAAACACAGAAAACGTTAAGATTTGCCAAAACTGGGCGATAGATACATGAGTGTTACTTTGTTCTCTGTACTTCTCTCTATGCTTTGAGTATTTTATTTTTTAAAGAAGTAAAAACAATGTTATTAACATTAAAATTCAGATTATTTGAAAATTACTCTAAAATATTAAAATAACAAAGCAAAACTGCTTTTAAGAGTTGGTCAGGCCAAGTTTAATATTATTTCCAAAGACACGTTTCACTGCCACTTAACCAACACTAGATGTCACTTTACTACCTGCATTTAGTTTCGTGTGGGAGCTTTCTAGTTGAAATTAGATGAAGTTGAGCATGTTTTATACTTTTTTCCTCCAGTTGATACAGAGAATGAGGAAAAATGAGAGTGCTCTCTGCTATATGTCCCTGGAAGGGGAGGGACGTGCCTGTTTTGGTTCATCGTTTTATCCACTACATCTACTGCACGTAATAGGGCTGCAAAAATATTGTTAGCTGAATGAAGAGACTAACAAAAGAAATGTTTAACATCACCAAAATGTATAAAATTACATTTGGAACGGTTTTTCTTTCAGTGGCAGCTAGGTATTTGAAGGGTTTGCCAGGGAAAGGTTGTGAGTTAAATCTCAAAACTCAATTTGTGGTCAACGGGGAGGGGGCATGTTTCAGATTCTTTAACCCAAAATTGTATCACGGTTTATTGGCGGGCTGGGTCTTCCATAAACAAGGATTCCGATCAATAACTGTTACCCTTTTAGGGGGATAAGCACCTTTGATAACCATTGAAAACCATGGACTTTCTAAACACTTTCACATAAATACATAACAATAGTTTCATGCAGTTTCTGCAGATTTGCAGACCTTAAAGCAGATCCCAGACTGGGATCTCCTGCCAGAGATAGGCAAAACGCCTGCTCAGGGGCTTTTCCCAGGCTTCTCAAACTCTGCTTTCACTCTGGCAATAACTAGAATGTGTGGCTGAGGCCTGCACAGGATTTGGGCTAAGCAATTTAATCATGTGAATGAATGATATGGAAACTAACCCTGAAAATTCAGGTAGTAACCAGACGTGGGCAATATCTACATTGGAAATATATGGCTTATAGATAACAAAGTATTTATGTGTTTTTTCTATCAGAATATTTAAGAAAAAAAATATTTAACATATTTCTTTGCTAAAATATTTATTTGGTAGCTTGTTCTTCCCTGGGGAGCAAACTAAACCCCAGGAATTAAAAATATTTTCTTGTGCCTATTTGTCCAACTGTCTTCATTTTACACATCCTAACTGAGAAGAACTTTTAAATTTTTATTATTGATTTTCTTGTATCATGAATATTTGAAAACTAATCTTTAGCCCAAATTAGGTGATATTAGTTGACTTTATGAATACAAGTTAATGGAATTTTGCTGCATAGTGTAAAAATACGTGAAATCAAATAAGCCTAAAACCTCTTTATCTTCTTTGTTCCAGATTATTTCCTTCTTCAAAAGGACTCCTTTTTCCAGGGACTCTCGGTTCTGATAGTCACATTATTAATCTACCAAAATCAGGTGGGGAATGACAGACAGAATTCTTTATCATGACAACCCTTTTATTTAAGCTACTTAGGCCATAGTTACAATAGGTGGGTCAGTTTTAAAAGTTGTGGTTTTGCTCAATAGAGATGGTGTTAATGCCATGAGAACCTGGTATCAGATGGTGCCAGAGTTCATTTTTCTCCTACTGTGCAACTCTACTGTAGGTGCTAGACTGAAGTAGAGTAAGCCATGAGTACTTAGGGTCCTGATCTGGTGCGGTGACCACGCATAAGCCTAGCTGGTTGTGGAACCCATCGTGAAATTACATGTGAAAAAAGGAACCTGCTGTAAGAGGACAGAGTCTGTCTTGGGTTCTAATTATTTGACCACCAAAAACTTCCACAACCCTTTCAAATAAATATAGAAGAATATATGGACTTTATCAGAGATTTAAAGGGCTCCATGTAGCTGTTTTATTGGGACAATTAAAGAAAAATTCAGAGTTCTGTTTCCCTAAAGCAAAGAGCCTGAGTACTGATCCCTCTTTGTAATTGGTAATGTCCCTAGGATGTTTTCTTAAAGTGATCAGTATAAACATTTTAACTCTATGGAGAAAATTTTACATTTCACAACAAAATATGTAACCATTTATCCAACAAAATCTTTAAATTTTCAGTTATTGATTTAACTATTTCTCTTTGACCTCGTGAGAACTTTGAAACATCTGACTTCTTTTTATAAAAAACTGTTTTTATAAGTGCTTAATTGAATGGCCAACTTTTTCCTGGAGAAAAATCGTCCTACATGAGTCATGGCAGGCTTAATCAATAGACCCATATTTCCAGTTCTGTAGCCAAGACCTTACAATAACATTTGATCATATGTCAATTTATGGTTCTGTAATAAAATATTTTGTTTTTATATGCTAATACCACATGCTGAATTTAAGTGTTTATTTTACTTTAATTCTTGACACTTAAAATTATTAGCCCTTTTTTGTTTTTAAAGTATAGAATTTCTCAGCTTGGGGAGAAGTTCAGTGAGGACTGCTGGGAATTAGCATTAGGCCCAGGGGGTTCCTGAAAGCTGGCTCTACTTCCTTATGCTTCTGGAAAAGATAGACTTCATAGCTCAAGTTACTATATCCTTTTATTATTCAAGGTCTTGCAGTCTTTTCTCCTTCTCTGTCATGAAATAGAAGTAATTGGGGGCAGATAAGAATCAAACACAGTATAATTTTGGCAAAACAGAAAATATGTAAACTCCTGATTTAATCCCACCTGCACCCCTCAACCCCCAAAGAATGTTCAGTGTCCTTGGAGCAGGAACCTGTCTTTTATAACCTACGGAATCCCCAGTGCCTGAAACAATGCCTGGCCATAGAGAGGACTCAGTCAATCCTGACTGACTGAATAAGTGAGCAAATCCAGTTTTAGGATTATGTGAGTCTGGCTTTGGGATTAGAAGCCTATCTCGGTCCTTGCAGTCTCCACTCCTTAAGCAGCATTGTGATTTTTAAGGATTACCAAGAAGAATTCTTCATTATAAACATTTTCCAAATTCACAGAGAAAATTCTACCTCTGAAGTGATCCTGCGGTCTTTAGTACTCGGTATACTTTATGTTGTGTAGTATCCTGAGTTGCTAGGCTGTTTAAAGACTTTCACAAGTGAAGAGATCACCTACATTGATTTTTACATACTGTATCATGAAATTCGCCAGATTAGATTCACTTTATATACTTTAAGGTAATTTTTTAAAACTCATAGACATTGCTGGTTTTAATATTAAACAAGTACCAGATAACTATACTTTGTAACTGTCTTAACTCACTATACTCAAAGCCTTAGAGTTCCACAGTGTTTTTCGCTTGAAACCTGAATTTTTATGAGGCAAATCTACACCACAAATAATGCTGGAATGTGAGAAAAATTTTAGAGTGTTTTTTGATCTCATGTCTAATCTTTTGAGCTGGCCAACGATGGAAAGGCCATCTATCCTGAGAAAGGGTGACCACCTGGTCAGAGCGTGGACTTTTTGCAGCCATCGTGTGAGGGCCTTGGATCAGCTACTCACCAGCTCTGTGACCTGAGGAAGTTACTTACCCTCTCCTTGCCTCATTCCGTCATCTGTAAAGTGGGGATGATGCCCATACCTCTGTCATCGGGTTGTTGTAAGACCACCTGAGTCAATATCTGTGAAGTCCTTAGAGCAGTATCTGGAGCATAATAAGTGTTTTGCTAAACAAACAAGAAACATAATAGTCGATATTAAATAGCTACCATCCAGAGATGTTATAAAAGAGATTTTTGCGTGTTCAGGAAGATGAACACGCTCCCTTCCAGTGTTGAATTCTGTGATTCTACTTACCTCTGTGTGCCCTGCTCCCGTAAGACATGCCTACCCAGTGTTTCCCAGACACTCCTTACTCACTTTAAACCTCACTTGTGGCTGTGGAGACTGCACCCTAGGTTATCAAATCTTATTATCTTTATATAGCTTCCCCCCTCCTCTCCTTCCCCCTCCTCCTTTTCTCAGCATCCTACTCTCTGAGTTTTATTGCTTTATGTTATTCTTTCATTGTTTTATGTGCAATTATTGTATTTCCAATTAGATTATAAGCCTCTTGAGAACAGCCTTATGCTTATGTTTTCCAGCACATAAGTAAATATGTATTGAATGAATAAATGGGGGGGGGCTAAATTGGGATTCAACTCTTCCGTAATAATTAAATGCAAGTCAAGTGGATTATATATTCAATGTTTAGACTATTGATGAGCAGTTCTTATTTCTAAAGAAGTTTTGGTTCATAACTCCTCCCCTCACTTTTTTTTTTTTTTGGTCTGATCTACTGTTGGTGAAATATTTGTAGATTAGCTGGTTCCCCTTCATTCCTTCTCTTCTGAAATGTGCGGTAAAGTAAAAATGCCTAGAGCAATAATTTGTGGATAAAAAACAGCTGCACATGAAAAATAATTGATGTGGTTTTAAAATTACTTTGAAATAGAAATTAAAGTGCCTTTTCAACCTATGCTTTAAAAAGAGAGCTAAAGATAATTCTTTGTGAATCATGAAATGGAAGTGGAGGAAGACACACATTTTTGGATAGTCAATTGATTTTAAATAAGTAGAGTTTTAAAAAGCTCTCTATATTATTTAAAATGTTCAGTTTGCTGAGAAGACTTAGCTATAGTTAAATAAAGTCTTATCTATACCCTTAGTAATGTGAGTGTAATGTTTTCCATAATTATAAATAAGAAAGCCGATCCCTTTGACTTCTCTATGAGTTAATTTTTAATGATTATGTAGAGTTAGTTCTTTTTTTCTATTATGCTTCTGACATTTTCCAAGGAGTGACCCAAATGGCAAACATTGTTTATTTATCTTATTTCCTGCAGGGGGATGATCACAGTCATGCTGCCCTAATGCCACTCATACTTGCCTGGTGTGCAGGTATGTGAATGATGTCAGACATTGGATCAGGAATGGAAGATTCACAAAATAGTATTCTGTCAACATGACACAGACAATATTTGATTGAATTTTTAAATCTAAATCTACACAGACCCATCGTTTCTAAACTTATAAAAATACTTATGTTCTATTCACTTGTTCCTTTATCCAAAAACAAAAACAAAAAATCCTCTTACCTCTAGAAGATGTGTTTGTAAAAGAATTCTAATTCCCTGGTTTTCTTTATATAGAGAATGTCTGAATGATGTCAAAAATCCAATACTTTCCTTTAGAAGAAAATTAACCAGGAAATAAAAAAGGGGGTTAGTCATTATTCTTTAAATCACAGTATCTCTTAGCTATTTCACACAGGAAGTGGAAAAATTAAGCAGCATTAAAATGTCCGCTTGATGTGAGCCTGTTGTTAATTTCAATACTTTATAAATGGTAGTTAAGCATAAAGATGAAAAATATGTACATGTGTTTTATTTAATCTTTGAGCCCTAAGACTTATGATGCTTAGCAATGTCTGTATAAAAAGATAAAGTATTCTAAGTATTTATCACATTTACTATATTCTAACAGTTTTTGTTGTCAGAGAATTTGCTATAAAATGATATAAACATTGTAATTTAAACCTATGCATGGTTTTTGGAAAAAGTAACAGGCTGAGATAATAAAAGGCAACTAAGTATCTGAGGGTTAAAATAGAATTAAACCAATAATTAGAATGTACTAAAATTAGGCAGATAGTTAGGCTTGAATTTCAACCTTATAATTACATATATTTTAGGCATTTAGAGTGGGTAAATTTGAATGTTTCCTTATGAATGCTTTACTAATAAACTTTTTAAAAATCAATGGCAAAATATATCTTTTCAACTATATGGAAAAATAACTCACATAAGTGCATAGTGTGTGCAAGACACTATTCCTAGAGCTTTATATGTAATGACTAATTTAATCCTCATAACAAATCTATGAAGTAGCTACTATTAGTATCCTAATTTATGGATGAGGAAACTGAGGCACACAGAGAGTAGATAATTTGCCCAAAATCACTTTGCTAGTCAGTAAAGGATCTGGGATTCTAAACTAGAGTTAGAATGCCAGAATCTGAGCTCTTAACCATTTCACCATTCTGCCTTTGCTGGATGATTAACAATCTTTTAATTTGCTTTTGTTAAAATGTGAATGTCTAGTTAAAAGTGTAAGTTATATGTTATATTTAATTAAACAGAAAATATTCAAATAAGTTGTATAGAATTTTTGAAAATATGAGTACATTCCAGAAATCACATTCTTGGGCTACAGAACCTGAAGACACATCATGATATTAAAATTTTCTTTAAGCTAATTAGCAAAAGAAAAATTCCACTGCATCTGATAGAAAAAAGATAAATACTTCAGTTTTATTAAGTGCTTATATGCCAAGCATTATTCTAAATGCTTTAACTTATTTAATTCTATCGAAACTTAAGATACACATTATTACTACTCTCATTTTATGAATGAGGTTAATTGGGAGGTAATGCTCACGGTGTTCTTTCTCACCTCTATTCTTCATCCCTGGAGATTTATGGATCTTTGGTGTTTCCTTGTTTTATATGGGTGTATAATTTAGAAACTTTTAGGTGGCTTTTTATGGTAAGGAAGGTTAGAATCTTTGAGTGAGTTGAAAGATAATTGCTGCTTAATGACAGAATGGGGGGTGGAAACTTTAAGGCATTTTGCTCTCTACCTGCCATGGAACTACTGCATAGTCTAGTTCAGTAGACTGGTAATGGCCAGGAGCTCTGCAGTCCAATTTTTCAGATCCTGGCTCGACTCTTCTCAGGTGACTTCGGGCAAGATACTTAACCTCCAAAGACAGTGCTCTTGAGTGGGTTATAGGGAAACACCCCTGCCCTGTGGGGTCGGGGGAAGAGAGGGGGAGGGCCAGGGAAGGAGAGAGCTGTGTGAAAGGGGATGAAAGAGGGAGAGGGTTGTAATTAAGTACCTAAAAATGTTTCCCCCTATTCTCTTTCAACATTTTCTATTACATATTTGATGTTTTCTATTTGTTTAAAGATGAAATCTGATTTCTGTCAGCTTCTTCTTAGTCATATGAGAACCTTCTAGAATAAATGAGCTTGTGGGAGAACTGGCCTACCGGACCCACCCAAACTGTTACAGTGAGATCCCTTTGCAGCACTTGTTCTCGGGTCTGTTTGCCAAATTTCCTGGTGTGTCACCAGTGCTGCCTGTGGACCACACCCACAAAAACAACTCAGAAACAGATTTTCTTTGACCACATGTGACGTTGATGAATTGGGGTATTTTTAAACTAGGTCACATAGCTATCTAATGGATAATTCTTCCTCCATTTTCCCCCCAGAAAAATTTAACAGGTTTATTTATAATTGTTGTAAAGTTGAACTGCTGAAACTTGTGCATGGAAACATTTTGACTTGCCTGATGCTTTATGTCCCTACATGATATCGAAAATTCACACACAAATAAAAATGAAAAAAACTGCCAACACCTGATTTCTGGCTCCTGTTTTCCAGTTGCAATCATATACTTAGGTACCTTTTGACCCCATGGGGGGAGGGGAATCTAATGTTCAGAACTACCAATAACAGGAAGAGAATTATTTTTTTTAAGAATGAAATGTTTTCCATCATAGTGTATTCACAAGCACATTCTCTACGTATGCTGCCTGATAGCTGGGTGTCTTTTGGCATAATTGTTACACATTTGGCATGGATAGCACACAGGTTGGTATCTTCAAAAAGGCCAACCTGATGGGCCTCACTTGCCTCCTGCAGAGCACCAACAGCTGCACGTGCAGATCTCTTTTGAAGTCCTGAGCAATTTCTCACACCAGGCGCTAGAAGGGAAGTTAGCAAGTCAGAAGTTCAGTGAACTTGTGATAAAGTCCAATTTCATGGAGTGCCACCCTACCAGGCCTCTAACGATGAAGCTTCTTCACCCATCCAGTAGAGGGCACACTCTTGCAAGTGGCTTTGGTAGTGAGTTGCTTCCTGAGTGCTTTACCACGGGCCTATTTGCAGGCAGGCAGCTTGTCTGTGCCATGGTACAGAGAGGCCTCCTTCCTTACTCTCCGTCTCCTTCGGTTGTAGCTTCACGAGCTAGAGGAGGTGTGGTGGCGGCTGCAAACACCCCCTCCATTTTCAACAATATATTCAGAGAACTTACTCTGTGCTCCGCACTGGTGACATAAAGATGAATTAATCACGGTTGCAGTCCCTGGCCACCCCGTAGTAGCAGCAAACCTAATATGCTTTATAAGTTGTCAGTGCTCTAGATGTGCAGCTACAAAGATGAATGAGATGAGAGTCCAAAAGTTACAGTTGAAATCTGGTGTCACTATACGTTTGGCATTCATCATTAATACTGACTTTTCTTTTTTAAAAGACAGATTTTAAAAAATATGTTTTTATTGATTTCAGAGAGAGGAAGGAGAAGGAGAGAGAGACATAGAAACATCAATGATGAGAGTAATTGATTGGCTGCTTCCTGCATGTCCCCCACTGGGGATTGCGCCCTCAACCCAGGCATGTGCCCGGACCAGGAATCAAACCACGATTGCCTAGATCATAGGTTGATGCCGAACCTCTGAGCCACACCAGCCGGGCAACATTGATTTTTCTTAGTGAGAAAGTAGTAGCTATGCCATGTAATTCTCTCTCTCTGTCTCAAATAATTTTCTTATGGCAGAAACTAAGCCACAATGCAGCTTAAATTTGTAACTAAGTCAAACAACTAGAATTTATTATCATGATCACCTTACTATTATCATGATCTCATCACAAATATTATTATTACTACTAATGAGATTTGTAACTGTATTAGTTTTATATTGATTCTTTCCCCAATAATTCCTCCCAACTCTACCCATTTTTTTAACCTCATACTAATTGTGTTTATATAAGCAGAAGTGACAATTTACTTAATTACATAATACTAAAGTAAAGAACATTGAATAGATACTGATTTGGTGTAGAAGATGATTACCCTACTAAAGCAATATTACAGTAACTGGTCTTCATATGCTATTTTTCTGCTTGTAGCCAAAGAGTCCTTTCAAAACACAATTAGGGTTATTTTTGGAGTCAGATACTTGAGGTTTATCACCACTTGCTTGAGAGAGACCCCACAGTCCTAATGAGACAGAAAAAGTGAAATACATAGGCATGCAAACTGTACACTGCACAATTCTAGTGCATGGCACTCACAAACACAGTGATGTGAATGGTGCATCTGATGTGCAAAAAAACCAGCTTGCATATTTGGATGTACTGGAAATATTGAAGAAAAAATAATAATTCACTGAAGTGTTAGGTCAACCCATAGTCATCTTATTGCTTTTGAAAATAATTTTATTTTTTTTAATTAAGTTTTTTCTGGAAGCCATGAGTATTAAGAAAAAACCTGAATGAAAAGAGAAACACAATTTCTCAGTAGGGAATTGACTTCACAATCAATATTTAATTTCACAAAAATACACCATTGGAAATGAAAAAAGTGAATGTAAAACATAGACTTAGAAAGTGTTTAAAGAGCAATTCAACTAGTAGAAAAGGTAAAGCAATGGGAAATTATTAAAGATAGAATATGGGTCTAACAATAGTTCAGATTGCTCAGATAGTACAAAAAGGTGCTGGGTAAAAAAAATCTCTTGAAACACTTTCTTTACATCACAAGATAAATCACCAATCTTCCAACACTGTGGCCATTCAAACTGTACTAAATGTTCTAGCTGGGGTAATTGGCAGAGAAAAATAAATAAAAGTTACAAGAATTAGAAAGGAAACAAACTATATATATGCATATGATGTGGTTGTTTATGCAGAAAAATTCAAGACTACAAATTATTTAAACTAATAATTTAGTAAGGTTGCTAAATATAATATCACTATACAGAAAAATCAATTACATTCCAATATATCATTTATGTAGCATTTATAGCATTTATATAGCATTTATTAAATATAGCATTTATAAAAACAACCAAAAATAGTGTCTAGGAATAAGTCTAATAAAAGATTGGCAAGATTTTTATGAAAAAAAATATAAAATGATTAAAATGCCTTAAAGAGCACCTAAATACATGGAGAGTTATACTATGTTCATAAAAACGTAAACTCAATTCCTTAAAGATGTAAATACTCCTAGTGTCAATGATAAATGTAATACAGTTCCAGTTCAACCCAGCCCAGCGGATGTGAGTAGTGGAATAGAATTGAGTTGCTGGTATTTGAGGTGAATCTGGAATTCTTTGGGGAGCCTAATATAATTAACAATACCTCTGATAGAAAAAGTTATCCCAGTAAATTCTGTTATCAAAGGATGAATACTCAGACATATACTGCAATTAGAAAAGCTATCTTATTTACCAAGACCTGGAATATTTGTGTCAATGTTGGGAAATTAAGAATGTGATTTCTTGGCAAAGGAATTGCTGTCTCAAGATGGCATTTTTCATCTATGACTCAGAAGGGAAGTCTGGAATACCTGCCCAGCACCTAAGATTCAGACTCCAGGTTTCCGGATCTAGAGAGGAGAATGTTTTAACAAGTGCACCCTGCCACACATGAGAGCATCCAAAGCATCCAGAGGTACTAGAATGACTATACCTCACCCAAAGGCCACTTGTTAAACTATAACAGACATGCCACCTGTTCCTTCAGAGGCCAATAAGTGATCTTTGAACAGGGCTGGAGTTAAAAAGTAAACCTGCGCTTCACGTTTTTGCATTGTTATAACTAAAATACAACAGCTGACTTGATATAAGTATGCAGTCAATATTTGCTTCTAAGATTGACTCAGTGTTTACATTTTAAAGGAAGAACACA